GGAAGAGATCTATAATCACGAACAGTCCCAGTCTAGCTGAGAGGAGAGTTTAGCGGCGGTAACCAGTCTGGGACAAACCAAATGTAGAGAGCCCTCCAGGGTCTGGTGATGCACATCTGGCAGTTATACTTTTATTTAATTTTTTTACTTTTTGATGTATATTTTTGTTGTGAGTTCCAGCAGTTGGTGCACTGAGCTACTGAGGGACATCTTAGAACCACCTCATTAAGTCATAAAAGGACACAGCACCCTCCTATGCATGTGCTAGCTGGGGCACCTAAGGAGGTCATTTGTGCTGCCTTAAGGTAGTGCCAGTCCTGATTACTCGGAGATAGATATATAGATAGATGCGCGCACACATACATTGAATTCCGAACTTTGGAACTTTGGGACTTCGGAACTTTGGAACTTCGGAACTTCAGGACTTCGGAACTTCAGGACTTCGGATGTTCTCTTGCAGCCGCTTAGTAGATAACTCCCTAATTCCCACGGTAGTAGGGAGCTATTTACCAAAAAGCTGAAAGACCTAAATTGGTCTTTCAGAAAAATTTACTAATACTAAGTAAAGATTACTTAGTATTAGTAAATTCTGCCCCTACTCGCTAAACCGCAGGTAGGGGCATGTCTAGTAAACAGTAGGCAGCCTGTGGCTGCTCACTGTTAAAAAAAAAAAAAAAAAAACAGTGTGGGAAAATTCCAAAGAACTTTCCCATGCTGTGTAAAATGACACAGAGCACTCTGATTGGTTGGATTTCAAACTAACCAATCAGAGTGCTGTGACAGGTAAATGTAGAGGCTTACCTGTCAGTCTCTTCATTTACCTGTCAGAGCAGTCTGATTGGATGGCTTAAACCAACCAGTCATAGTGCTCTGAGCCTAATTGCAGGGTGGGCAAGCCTTTATAATCCTTCCCCACCCTGCAGAGCTCAGTCTTTTTGGTGCCCTCCACGGGTGAAGATGGATTACTTTTTCAGCGTCTTGTTTTTTTTGGTTTTTTTTCCAAAATGCGACGTGTATTGTGTTTTTTTATTTAGCCTTTTTTGGGGCTCCGCTCTTGCAAGAGTGAACCCTAGCCTGAGCTGCAGGCTTGAGTTTACTCTCACCCCTAGGACTGCCAGGGTTTCCCCACCGAACCACCAAGGTTAAACACGGCGGGATGAGGTCCTTAGGCCAACATTTAACCTAGCTGAATGTAATTTATTTATTTGTTTGTTGATTTTCAGTTGAAGTCATAAAAAAAACACTTTATATATGCTATCTTTAATATTATTTCTTGTACATACTAAAGATTCCAGGTTTTCTAAGGGTTAAAAACAGTACATGGCTTATGGCTGTCCATGATTTGTAAATTTTTACTTGTTTTTTATTTTTTACTTTTGCATTTTATTTTGACTTGCTATGTCGGCAATTGTGACCTAAAATTTGAAAATCACTTTGAATTCCCGAGAGCCTGGACTCTGTGTTCACATGAATCCCTTAGGATCCTAGTTATCATCCAGGTTATACTCTATATTTCCTTTGGTGGGAGATGAAAGCCTCCTAAGAAGTACCAGAGAGACATTGATGACATGTGTTTTTGTAAGCAACCCATGGACACACTTCTGATTCATGGTGACTTTAGGACAGTCATAGATGCTGTATGTCCATAATTTGTTGTTTGTTGCCAAATTAGGTTCTGGAAAAAAGTCAGGGCTGGGTTATTCCAACACATGGTATGGTCCATTAGTGACATAAAGTCAGATCACATGAGAGGGACTCCAAGAAATGTGGGACACTATGATTCTTCTGTAACAAGCCCGGCTAGCTCAGTCGGTAGAGCATGAGACTCTTAATCTCAGGGTCGTGGGTTCGAGCCCCACGTTGGGCGATTTGTATTTTAGTCTTTTACATTTAATTAAAAAGTTTGAAGCATGAATGTACACACATTTCGACGTATGTCACAGACATTTCATAATACAAAGCCAAACCAAATGGCACAAAAAATTAGCCAATTAGCATATAACAAAATAAAAATTTAATGTGTATATTTTCCAGTATACTGTATACTGCATTTTTGATCCAGTCTGTAAAAAAATCTGTAAATAAGCTGTATTAATATATTACAAATAATATATATATATATATCTATATATATATATATACACAAAATTTGTATTTATATATATATTATATATTTTAAAATATAATATAATATAATATAATATAAATATATAGGTTTTCCTTATATTGACCCTCCTTTTTGCATTCTATTGGTCACTTCACACTAGATATGCAAATAAAATTAATATTTAGTGGCCGTCATCTAACCATCGATCATTCTTTTTCCCATCGATCATCTCTTTCTTTGGAACAACGGAAAGAACTCCAAAGCAAGAATCAAATGAACACGTTAGTCTCTTGTAAGAGCTCGGATATACGTCCATATAGCACTTTAGAGTTATGGGATTCAGATAACCCGCAAATTGGTCAAAACTTGGAAAAATTGCTAGTCGGTCAAAAGCGATTGCACAAGCTGTAATTCTAATGAGGAAGCTGAGAGATCTATTGAAGTGAACATAAAGTAATAATGTTATAACAGAGATTCCAAAACTATAGTACAGCAGAAGGTTTGCATTCCTTAATATGTGTATTGTAAAATCCATGGCTCATGTTGCAGATGTCTTCTCCTCGGTTTTGTCACCTAGAATGCGTTAAAACATAAAGCCCTGCTGAGCAGGTAAACATCAAATGTTTAGCAACAATGGGAGCAAAGTGTGCTCACAAGTATGCAACAAAGTGTGTCCAGGTGACAATCCTTTTAATTTCACCCCCCAAGTCTGGCTAAGTTTCTCCCTTGAGCCTTACATTGCAAACTCGGAACACTGTTATCAGTATTAAGACCAGCTGGGTAGAGACTACGCATTGTTATCACTGTAAGATAATAATAAGCCAATGATGGCAGGCTGATCGTAATGTAAAATGGGCTTTACAACTATCTGAGATGTGGTTTTTGCCACAATTGTTATCTAATTTTTTTAAGGTATACTATAGGCATCAAAACAACATAATGAAGTGGTTTTGCTACATAGACCATGCCCCATATAGTCTCATTCCTCAATTCTCCTCAGGCATTAAATCACTTCTGTTTCTGTGTCTCACTCAGCCTGCATGGAAATATGGTTTTATTTTCAATCAGATGTTAACTTACCTTTGAAGTTTTTGTCTCCTGCTCTGTAAATTGAACTTTAATTACCCACAGTAGGAGCCTGCAGGGTCTAGGAGAATATTAACAGAGCAGGTGAAAACAAATTGTAAATTAAGCAGAATGTGCAATAAAGGAAGTTTAAATATCAGATCCCTCTTTACAGGAAGTGTTTAGGAAGGGTGTGCAAGCAGATGAAGGGAGGTGTGACTAGGGCTGCATAAACAAAGTGGTTTCACTTCTAGTCTAGTAAGCTTTTTAGTCTTACTATATATATGATATTTTTCTCTATCTAATACTTTGTAAATTAATAATCAACAATTTCCACCATCCTATGTTATATGAAAACACACACAAATATAGACACACAATTCCTGTGTATAAAGAACCCTGGCATTAAAAAAAGCTCTATGCTATTTTTATAGTCGATCTGTAAAGGTATGTTTTTTTCAATGCATTGAGCAAATTATTATAACTGGTGCACTTCTCTCTTAAGTTGGCTGTAAACTTTCTTTTCACTTTTTAGGTCTGTCCTAGTTCAAACTCAAGAATTACTTAACTTTTTTATTGGTCCAATCAGTGTTAGGTGGCATTAGGTTAATGTCGCCCATAAAGGGAGATAGAAGCACCTCTCATTGCTCAAACATATTTTATATCAACTACTTCACCTCCCCACTCCCCACCATCAAAGCTCCCTTGCATCTGAGAGGCCCAGAAAGAAAACTGATAGAACTTCTATAGAAAAAGTGAATTATGGAACTGCACAATTTTTATGAGTTAAATACTTCAGTAACTTCTATTCCATTTTTTTCCAAGTAGGCCAAATTCACCAAATCTATGTCCGTGTTTCCGCTTGGTAACTGTTATACCATTAACTGACTATATATGCCATATAGTGCAAACATAAAAAGAGAGGGCCCGTAATATATATTTACCGTCCTAAAGAACAAAATAACACAAATGTTTTGAGCGATAAACCCTCTTTTTCAGTGCATCAGCCATCCATCCATCATACCATTCTTCCTAACAGATTGTTTTCCAGGGCTCTGTGGCGCAATGGATAGCGCATTGGACTTCTAGTTGATTAAGTTATTCAAAGGTTGTGGGTTCGAGTCCCACCAGAGTCGCTTTTTAAAAGAAATTCTTTTAACAACTTCCATATAGATTGTACATTTGTTTGAGCAGGACTTTCTTCACCTTTTGCCCGTGTTTTAATATTTTGTATGTCAATTACTTGTTGTCAATGTTAACAGTTTGTCTTGGATGTTATATTGCATCATTATTTTAACCCTTTAGCATTTGGGTTACAGCAAGAACATAGAATTTTTGTAAATTTTTTTTAGCAAAGAGCTATCTGTTCTGATGACTGATTTATATCTAACTTCCCATCTATGTTTACACAGTTGTACAAAGTCAATTAAATATTTTCTTTCACTAACATTTATGCAAATGTAACCCAAAAATCTTGCAAATCTCCATAGTAAAGTATTGATTCAAAGTTTTCCTATGTGGAAGCACAAATAAGCGTGTGGAGAATCTCTGGAGGTCCTGAACTGAATACGAGGAGTCACTGTGTAGAATGAGAAGAGTACGGGACAGTCACCAACGGTAGCAGATTTCGTGCATTTCGAGGAGAGATGGAAATGGTTGGAGCAACCTCCACTGCGCCAATGTACCACCAGAGAGATCTACATAAAATGTAAGAGACATGGTCTCGAAGTTCTAGGGAGAGTTCCCCTTTATGAAAGCCAAGACTGCAGCTTTATCCCTGCCATTTTGAACGATAACTACCAAGTGTATGGGCACAGTGACTGGGGCCTTAGCTGGTCTGGGGAGACAAAAGAGTCCATTTAACAGCTTTATCCTGTAGCGAAAACAAGGCTACAAGCAGATGCCTCAGAAAATGCCGTAACTCTGCTGCTGTATTGTCCTCTGAAGCCATGGCTTCTCGGCTTTTTGTTTCTTGGTCATTTGGCCTATTGTGTAACAGCAGAGCTGGTAGTTCAGCAATATCCTCCAGATTAGGGTTTAAAGCGGTACAAGAATGGAAAAATAGCGATTTGTCAGGAATTGTCACTCGGCTGTTATATAAGCAGCCATCCGCTTCAGTATCTTGACTCCGTCCCACATCCATCCCACATTAAAAGTGAATTCAAAGTATAATTAATACCAGATTAGCCAAACAGAGATTTTTTTCAGTTTGGCTATTTTGAGATTAAATTTGAAAATCACTTCAGTAAATCATTTTGTGAATGTTTCTTGTCTAACGACACTTTTTTTCATTAACAATTTTAAAACAATACTAAGAAATGTACTTTATCTGAAAACTACAGCTTCTGACAAATTCTCCTCTAGTCTTATCACCTGGAACATGTTAAAACAGAGAAACCCCACTGGGCAGATGGCCTTCAAAGCATTTCACAGGAGTAGGAGCAAAGTGTGCCAGGAACTGTGTGTAAAAGTGTGTTCAGGTGACAATCTTTACAAATCGTCCCCTCAGGCCGTCTGGCTGAGTCCAATTTGTATCTGTTACATTGATATGTGAATAATTGCAGAATTAATTATCAATTTGTTAGTTGAATCAAAGCAAAGGTGAGATGGACCAAGTCAGATTCCATTCTTTGAACTTAAAAAGAAGTAGAAAATAAAATGATATATGTATATATTGTATGAATGGGAATGAAAATCAATATATCCAAATACGTAAACTTAAAAAGCAATATGCTAAGTAAATACCTTGAGGGCAAAATTAGAGAAAAGAAGAGTGAAAAATAATTATAAGGAGAAACTGTATTGTACAAATTAAACATCGGAATAATAAACAACTTCCTACCCCTGGTACCTTTCAGAAATTAGCCTATGATGGAATAAACTCACTTATACAGGAATATTGTCTGTTCTGCAATTCTTAATAAATTGCATTGGTGTGGCCGGTGAAACAAGCATACAGTCAAATAATATTTATTCACTAAAAGAAGCAACCATGTAAATATAGTATAAGATTCATGAGAAATTTATATCACAAATGGGCGTGTTCCCAAGACTAGCCATCACTGACATGTATTTATACCAAACATGAAACCGTTTCAATGTATCTGAACTCCAAATAAATAACATTAACAATATTATAATTTGCGATAAACAGCAGAGATACATGCACAGAGACCGTTTTGGAACCAACACCGTCTCACGATAATTTTCAGTACACGACTCGGTATATTCTCTGTTTTGGTTACCGTCATTATATTAATCAGATATCCCTGATTGACATCGACTTCAAACTGGATTTAACTGACATAGGCAAACTGAAGCCAGACTTGCCTTGGGGGTTAATTTGCAAAGACTGTCACCTGAACACACTTTGTCACACACTTCCTGGCACACTTTGCTCCCATTGCTGTTAAGTGTTTGATGTTTGTCTGCCTAGTGAGAGGTGGGGGGATTCCATGATTTAACAGGTTCAAGATGAGACAATTGTGAAGGACTTGTCTGCAACACCTTTACTGGATTTAACAATCAGCCAAAGTTTATATTTTAAATCTAAACTATAATTAAGTGACATTATGATAACTGTGCACCACATTTCTGTGGGTTGCCTTGGCCTGGTGCTTTATGGTTTGAACAATTAGTTGAACTTATAAAGTAGTGAATTTGAAATCAGAAGAATGCATAGACTGGAATCCCATTTGTCCAGGGCCTTCATCACCTCTTCTTCGTGATTATCCAATTTGTCCAGATTGCAATTACTTTGTTTCCTTTACTATATAAACAGTCAAACAGAATATGCTGACATTTTATATATTATTGAAATGATAAATATTGATGATCATCATATCTCATCAAATGATTTGAAAGGCTTCATGGTCATCTCATGGCTTGTGTTCTCAGGCAGAAGATGGCCTTCAGAATCAATTTTCTTAATTTCAGTTTTTCATATTTTGATTCTTTGAACAACTAACAGAATGGATATTTTCTTTACCCTCAAAAAGCTATATCTGTAAATTTAGTGAGCAAGAAGAGTCCACCTTAATAATACAAAACACAAATTGGGCTATTAAATCCATAATTACAAGGGGAAGGATTGTGCTAGTGACTGGCAGATACATGTATTATTATAAGTGTATTATTGTTAGAATGTAACTGATTAAAACAGGTTACTAAGTATTCTTTATAGACATATCATTTGCCAATATCTTTATTTTTCCTGTAGGTCATCAAGCGCCTACTTTTAATAATCCTATCTTTCTAAAGGGGAATTTAGTAGGAATTTAAAATAACATGTTCTGAGGACCTTGTGCTGAAGATCAAAAAAGACAAAAGGGATCAGTACAGGTGTTGGACAAGGGAGGCAACTTTCCCAGGATCACACCACTGGTTTAATGGTCCTACTCCAAGGTTTAATGACAGTAAGATTTTACACCTTGCTGTTAATGTTAATTTCACTCCATATGGGAAACTGTCTCTGCTGGACTTCTAAAAGAGAGACGAATTGGCAAAAGCGGGTGAAATTATTGCTTTTAAATATTCCCGCCCTACCATTGGGTTAAACAAATCCAACTATTATCCAGGTTGACCTAAAAAGCCACCGAAGTCACTGAGGATCTGAAGGTGTAGACAGCTGTAGTCCTGTGAAAGTTATGAGATATAATGGAAAATTAGTTTACTGAGAGAAAAACATGTAAAATCATTTACAACACTCCTTCTCTAGCTGGATAAGAAGAGATATATCAAAAATAAAATACAATTTGTAAGTAGTGGACGTTCTGAACATTGGATATTTCTCTGGGATTGATTAAAGAGTTATTGCCCAAATTTTATACAAGAAGCAATAACCAGAGGCCTGTAGTAGGGTTATTTATAGCTAGTGAGTAAGTCTTTGAGAAAATAAAGGACAATTTCTCCACAACACTAAGGATACCATTAGTCAATTTAAGGAGGAAAGTAACATTTGAGTGAGTGATTTCAATGGACGCCAAGCTGAAATGAGCTGACAAAGCTAAACTGCTGGTAATTGAAGCACAATTCTGTGTGGATAAATTTTTGTTGCTAAAAATGACCAGTATTGTAATGATAAAGTATATCTGACTGACATTAAAATATCAGACAAATTGACTTACATGTCTTAACAATTCTCTTTTTGTTTGTATATAAAATGTGTGTAATGTTTCCAGGGTGGAGTGACTATGCCTCTATTATGAGGCCAGTTGAGTGTTTTGTTTTTGAATAGATATCACCCAATAGAACAGAGTCATATCCACAATGTCTGCCCAGCAAGTGACCAATGATATTCCTTTGAAATTTTAAAGGGATTCTGATAACCTTTTGTCCTTCTTGTTCCTTTCCACCCTAGGGCTTATATCCCTGCTGTGGGGCTCTGCGTGGAAGTGTGCAGAGGTGTTAGAAGGAAGGAGAGGTGAGAAGACCAACAGCCATTATCCCCTACCTCTTTAATGGTTTTTGGAATATGTCAGTGTGGCAATACTAGGCTGGGCCGCTTCAGGGGGTCATATTAGGCTGCTCTGGTGGTGGCTAATAAATGGTTGGCCAAATGGAGAGCAATATTGGACTTATATACATCGTAATATTCACAGTTGATAAATTTGAGGAGTGTGTGCTGGTTTTGGCATCTAATGGAATTTGATAGTGCACCCACTTTACACAACAATATTTCAAAAGTTTGTCTCATATCTCGTAAATGCATTTTAAGTAAAAATAGTAGCAGCTCTACATTACCATTTCCTGAAACCAAGTGAAGTTAACGTGAACTGAACAAGCTCTGTATTAGAGTTTGTGGTATGTTCCATTTTTATTGAAATGAGATGCGTTCAGTTTTATTTAAATCCGTGAGGTTCCTTAAGTTTTATTTAAATCTGCGTGGTAAGTGGCATGCTCAGAAGTCATCATAGACAGGCTGGCAAATTTCAGGGAGCCATGTCGCGAGCGATGAGTTTGCTACATTGAACAAGTTCATTATTTTGTGGTAAAAGACGGTTTAAGAACTCACATATTTACTTAAATAAACATGAGCCAAACTACTGAAAATGTGGTTGGTTTTCATGCACGGAATTTGGAAAAACTCAAGAAAGGGGATTTGAAAAGTGTATGCATGAGCAGAATTAATTTTTTCATGAATGTTCTTTTCTGCTCATATCATATTTTAAGATCCTAGTATATGACTTATATCTCAAGCTTTAATAAATTAACTCCATAACCTAGGAACTACCCCAAACAGCAAAGCCTTACGAAGAATATCTTGCAAACTTAGAAAACATTAACACATTGTAGCTACTTCTATTCAAGACACATTGACACAGGTACAGTGGATGTATAAGTTAGGGTGAAAAAAAAGAAGAGCTTATTTTATTGTGATTTTTTTTTCAATTTATACTGGTATTTTACAAATGTGTTACAAATGTGTTGACCCCTAATTTATCTAAGTTTAGAGCCCATTTTGTAATGGGAACCTGAAATGTTTCATTAAATTTACAGTTTAGCGGCACATTTAGAGGCTTGTAAATAACCCAAAAATGTGTTTCCCTCTGACTATGAGAATTTGTGAAACTATAGTGACAGCACTTGTGGACCTGGGTTTGGAAGATCAAAGCCTCCTAAAATGTGTCAGAGAGAGCAAAAGGGAGTGGATCAGTTCTAGAGAGTGTGTCTTTCCCATGTACACACTTTCACTTAATTGTCACGTTACAAGGTTTGGAGACAATAAATGTGACACCAGCTGTAAAATTTGCCTTCACAAGGTAATTTCACACCCTACTCTGGGAAAGGGCCAGCTCTCTGTCTCTCGGCTTCATGGGACACTTGGCGTAGGAGAAGATGAGAATTATGGAATGTGTCTCTCTACATGGCGCCACAAAGTCAACTCCTCCCATATATCAAGCATAACACTTACCATATTGAGCAAACATTAACCTGGATGTATATGTCAGGTTCATCCAGGATGTGAGGTTCAAAGAAATGTCACAAGGGGCTTCAATGTCCTGCCTTCTTCACACTAAATCTTAAAACATTATACTCTGGTTGGATAATAGTGCCCTGTTGTATAAAACAGACACAAGAGATGGTGTCTATACCTCTTGTTATTTTTTTTACTGACTGCTGTAGTTTTTATAAATGTATAAA